ACCTCCATAATCCAAAAAAGCGATTGATACTTTCCCGGACCAACACTCCCCCCACACAGAACCTTGTCTATACAGTTTACAAGGATTCCTGAACATCCGCAGTGAGTCAGGGTCGCCAGGCTAGAAGTACCCAGGTGTGGTTAACGCGGGAGAAATTCCGGTCTGGTCTCCCCCGGCTGGCTGGGGCCGGCTCCTGGCCGCCTTGACTTGCACTGCCCTCTAGAGCCTGAGGAGCCGGACTACCGGAGACTCATGGGGCCCACCCGCTCTGCCGCCTCCTTGGAGTTACTTCAACTCATCGTGTGGGGGACAGCATAAAAAGAAGGGCAGCTTCATACCCCACTGGGAATCTAGACCTACACTCACCAGGGCTGGGCTGCCCGGCTCACACTAAGCCTCCCTTCCCTGTTTCGCCACAGGATCTGCTGCCCCCTAGCTTCTGCCCATTCCAAGGAGTCTGGCTGACAACTGGAGGCCTCTGGGAGCTTAGGAAGCTCTGGGCTCGGCTTGGTTCACATGCACATCCAACAACATACCTTCTGTGTTTGTTTTGTTTTTTAACTGGCTGTAGCAGTCATTCACCACATTAATTGAGCACCTGCTATGCGCCCTGGGCTAAGCATAGCGCAAGGTGAAATCATGCCCATTCTCCTGGGTCCTGCCAGAATCTCACACCCTCCCCACCTTTGACAGCCCACCCAGGATAGCCCTCCTAACTGGTTCATCTAGAAACTGAATCCTTCTTCTACTCAGTTAGTAAGCTGCCCGGTGTGGCCACCTCTAGGCAGAGCCTGGCCTTGTTTGTCACTTCCTGCTACCTACCGCCACCAACCAGCAGCTTTGAGCCCACAGTGGCAGACGAGGAAAGGACTTCTGTCTGTCCTGGGACCCAGGGGCCTTCAACAAAATGAGCCGGCCAGCCCCTTGCGAGGGTGTGCTGGATGCATCTCTTGTTTTGTTCTGGTGCTCGTCACTACTAGCTGTTACATGTAGACTGCTTTGCCTTCTCTCCTCCACCAGAATAAAAAACTCTGCGAGCACAGAGGCTTTGGGTCACTGCTGTATGCCTACATGACGAAAAAGTTCAGTAAATATTTGTGAAATAGAAAATGTTATAGAATGGAGACCAGATTCCATATACCACGTGGTATCCTTCTGCCAGAGTTGAACCCCAGTAGGGCGGCTCACTCATCAGCTGGACGGCCTCGGGCAAGTTCTGGAAACTTTCAGTTTTTCTTCCCTGTGGCATGAGGATGAGTGCAATTCCTGCCTTGAAGGGGAACGGGCTGAGTGAAGAACACAAATAGAGAGGGCAGTGAGTGCTTAGCACATAGAAAATGCTAAATAAGTGTTAGAGATTGTTATTAGTATTCTTACTATTTTTATCCTGCTTTGTTCAGTCAACATTGCTAGTTTTCCCTACCTGGATCAGATACTTGATTGCTTTTGGAGATCCATTATACCATTGGACCAAAGTAGAAGTTTATGTACATGAACAAGAACAACTTGTGTGTGTGTGTGTGTGTGTGTGTGTGTGTGCGTGAGAGAGAGTGTGTGTGTTGGAGGTTGGCTTTCATTAGGTTCTCCGAAGGCCTAGACCCAACATAATTTATTACTTTTATAAAAGAATATATGTGTTGCCCTGGTTGGCGTGGCTCAGTGGATTGAGCGCCGGCCTGAAAACCCAAGGGTCGCTGGCTCAGTTCCCAGCCAGGACACTCAACAGAATTTAAGAAGAACCGGGCAGAAGGCTGGCTCGAGGGAGACTCCGTCAAGCAGCCATTTTCAGAGTCTAGGTGCACGCCATGCACAGTGGACCTCCACGTGGTTTCCTTGCTTTGACTATTGATGGGATTCTTTTCTTTAAAGATTTTATTTATTTATTTATTTATTTTAGAAAGAGGGGAAAGGGAGGATAAAGAGAGGGAGAGAAACATAGATCAGTTGTTTCCCGCGCACCCCCAACCTGGTCAACCTTCCAGACACACACCTTAACTGGGAATTGAATGGGCTACCCTTCAGTCTGCAGGCCACGGCTCAGACCACGGAGCCACACCAGCCATGGCTTGACGGGATTCTTGATACAATAATTACCTTGGTAATGCTAAGAGGTAAGGTCTGGGAAAGACCTTTGGAAAGGTGAGGGTCCAAGGCTCCGGTCAAGAATGGCATTCCCCGCACCCAGAACCCACCTCCCTCCTACGCCGGCCCCACCAGCCTTGAGTCTGGGAGCCTATTCTTACCGGTGGGTGATTCTCTGCTTCCCAGCAGGTGGCGCTATTGTCCTGACTATGCTGCAAGTTGCCAGCTAGGAAATCTGTTCTCAGAGGCTGAGACGCAGACCAGTCCTAGGGGTCCAATGCCTGGTCCATTGCATGGACCACTGCAAGGAGTGCAAAGCTATTCCATTCATTCAGGAATTCCACAAACACTACCTGAACACCAACTATGTGCCTGGCACTGGGAATTTAGCCAGGAACAAGACAGACCAAGTCCTGCTTTTCCAGGATTTATATGTTAGAGTCATGCAGTAAAGTATGGCAGCTACTAGGCACATGTGACTACTGAGCACTTAAAATGTAGCTAATCTGAATTAAGAAGTGTTGTTAAGAGTAAAATACACAATTGACGTCAAATATTTGGCTAAAATACTGTAAAATATCTAATTAACATTTTAAATTGGTTTTATGTTGAAACGATCATATTTGGGGCTAAGAAAAATATCATATTAAAAAGAATTTAAGCCCTGGCTGGTGTGACTCAGTGGATTGAGTGCCAGCCTGCAAACCAAAAGGTTGCCAGTTCACTTCACAGTCAGGACATATGCCTGGGTTGCAGGCCAGGTCACCAGCTGGGGGCACACAAGAGGCAACTGATCGATGTTTCCCTCCCTCCCTCCTTCTCTCCCTTCCTTCCCCTTTCTCCAAAAATAAATTAATAAAACCTCTTTTAAAATCTAAAATTAAAATTAAAGACAGATTGGATTTAAAAAAACAAGAACTATTCTGTATATTAGTTTCTTATTTTTATTTTTATTTATTTATTTTTAAAGAGGGAAGGGAGGGAGAAAGAGAGAGAAAGAGAAACATCAATGTGCGGTTGCTGGGGGTCATGGCCTGCAACCCAGGTATGTGCCCTGACTGGGAATTGAACCTGCGACACTTTGGTTCGCAGCTCGCACTCAATCCACTGAGCTATGCCAGCCAGGGCTGTATATTATTTTCAAGAGACTCATCTTAGATATAAGGACCTGAAAGACTGAACGTAGAAGCTTGGAAAAATGTATTCCATGCAAATAGTAACTAAAGGAGGTCTGTTTGGCTATATTATTGTAAGACAAATAAGACCTAAATCAAAACAGGTTACCAGAGACAAAGAAGAAAGTATATTGATAAAAGGCACAATATATCAAGATGATATAAAAATTATAAATATATACAGACCTAACAAGAAAGCCCAAAAATGTATGAAGCAAACCCGACAGAACTGAGAGGAGAAATAGTTCCACAGTAATAGTGGCAGGCTTCAGTGTTCCACTCTCACTAATGGATAGAACCACCGAACAGAAGACCAGCAAGGAAAAGGAGGGCGTGAACAGCTGGACCTAATGGACACTCCACCAATGACAACGGGGTACACGCTCTTCTCAAGTCCACATGGAACGTTCTCCAGGATAGCCTATATGTTATGTTACAAAACAAGTCCTAAGAAATTTTAAAAGATTGAAATTATACAAAGTATCTTTTCTGATCACAATAGAATAAAACTAGCAATGAGTAAGTGGAGGACAACCAAAAAAAATCACAATATGTGGAAATTTAAAAATGTATTCTATGATGGTTGATTTTATGTGTCAGCTTGACAGGATCACAGGTTACCTACATATTTAGCCAGACATTACTCTGGGTGTGTGTCTGGGAGGGTGTTTTGGGGTGAAATGTACATTTGAATAGTTCATGTGAAACACATTGCCCTCCCTGGTATGGTGGGCCTCATCCAGTCAATTGAAGATCCAAATAGAACAAAAAATGCCGAGTAAAAGCAAACTCCTCCTGCCTGAGTGCATGATCTGGAACTCTGGTCTTTTCCAGTTTTTGGACTTGGACTGAAATATCGGGTCTTCTTGTCAAATTTCTGATCCAGAGGAGGAAAGCTCCTAGCAATATTGAATGAACAAGGCAGGATAATAATAGTAACAATAACCACTAACACCCATCTGTGGGTAGACACTTGGATTTGTTCATTTCTTCTCATTGTTAAGTTGTATTACATTGTATGAATATAGCACAGTTAGTTTTTCTGTTCATCTGTTGGACATTTGGATTATTTCCATTTTTGGGCTATTATTAATAAAGCTCTCGGGTGGATTTATGCTTCCATTTTTGGGGGGCAAATACTTAGGAGTGAAATCACTTGACCATAGTGTAGATATAAATTTAGTTTTTAAAGAGATGCCAAACTGATTTCCAGAATGGCCAAAAATAACTAGTAGATGGAGGTTCTGGGCAGTCCACGTCCTTGGCAATCTTTAATTTTAGCCTGTTTTGTAGTGCCTGTGTGGGGATGCCAATTTGTCTTTCCTTGATGAATAATCACGTTAAGCATCTTGTCATGGACGTATTAGGTATTTACCTTTTGTAAATTATCTGATCAAATCCTTTGCCCATTTAAAAAAAAAGGATTTATACCTATTTTTGCAATTAATGTCGGCAGGTACTTTTTTCATCGTTCGTGCTCACGGCTTTACAGGCTTTAACTGAGGACTCCTCTGCGCAGAAGCAGTAACAGAGAGACCTGAGGCGACAAAAGGGCTCAGGACGGCTCAGTTACACAAACGTTGGGCCGTCTCATAGGCAGGGTACCCGGCGACTGCAAGGCTGGCTGAGTACTTGGGTGAAGCACTTCCTCGGGCACTTCCGACTCGGGGCCCGCCCTGAGCATTGGTGATTGGCTGGGCTGGCCAAGCGCGAGTCCTCCCGGGAGTTGTAGTTCTTGGGGCTGTGTTGGGGACGCCGGGAAGCATCAGCAGTCCGAGGCCAGAATCGGCGGTTGTGCTTGCTCCCCGCCGCTGGCACAATGTCCCGCGTGCCGGTGGCCTGCCATGTGAAAGGCACCGTGGCGCTGCAAGTGGGCGATGTGCGGACCTCCCAAGGCCGGCCTGGTGTGCTGGTCATCGATGTCACCTTCCCCAACATAGCGCCCTTCGAGGTGAGCAAGCCCCGTGGGCGGGGCTGCCCTGGGAACTCGGGTGTGTCCTAGGCATCGAATCTTTTACACAAAGCCTTGGCACTAGTCTCGCCCTTGAAAATCAGTTAACCATTTATTTACTCCTTCAGTTAATCCATATTTATTGTACTAGAAGGCAGCTTACTTTTCTGTTTTCTGCACCATCTCGCCCCCATATCCAGAGCTGCATGGGCAGGAAAGTGCCAAGGTAGCAGGTTAGGTGTTGGAAATACAGTTGGGAGACAAATATAGGCTAGGTGATTTTGTCGCTGGGGATCCTTAGACAATGAGTTACCCCCAAACCTGCCTCCCGTCCATCCCTACAGTCTCTGCTGGAGGTCACGTTCAATCCATCCCTCATCGGGCACCTCTCCATGGCTCCAGGTTGTTGGTTTTTTTTAATTTGATAACTTCTGGGTTTTTTAAAAAATATATTGATTTTAGAGAGAGAGGGAGGGAGAGAGGAGAGAACCGTCAATTTGTTGTTCCATTTACGTATGCATGATTGTTGTGTGTGCCCTGAGTGGGGGATCAGACACGCAACCTTGGTGTGTCAGGGTGATGCTCTAACTCACTCAGCTGCCTGGCCAGGGCTGGCTCGGGATTTCAGTCTCCAGCTGCACTTCCACATCAGTTGGCCAAGTGACAGGACCCTGCAGGACTTCCACACAAAGGATAAAGTTTGTTTTCTGATGGCCTGGCATTCAGGGCCACCTTGTGTCTGTGCCCTGCCTACCTCTCGGCCCCATGCACTTTGTCTGATAGAGTGTGGTTCTCACCCAAGCTGTTCCTGAAGTATAAGCTGGGAAATCCTGATCCAATATGGGGGAGCCTCTGTGTGTGTGATCTTGGGCATGTGGCAAAATCTGCAGTTGTTTATACGACTTGCTCATTTACACTGTGAGCTCCTTTAAGAAAGTGAGCTTTCTTTTTTTAAAGATTTATTTATTTATTTTTAGAGAGGGAAGGGAGGGAGAGAGAGAGAGAGGGAGGGAGAGAGAGAGAGAGAGAGAGAGAGAGAGAGAGAGAGATATCAATGTGAGGTTGCTGGGGACCATGGCCTGCAACCCAGGCATGTGCCCTGGCTGGGAATCGAACCTGCCATGCTTTGGTTCGCAGCCCGAGCTGAATCCACTGAGCTACGCCAGCCAGGGTGTGAGCTTGTTTTTGAGCCCCAAAAGGATGCTTGTTAGGTTGGTAGAAGAGGACATTCCTAAGGGGAGGAGGAGATGGTGCCTTTGAGCCTTTCAGGCCCTGGCCTTAGCTCTGATTTGCCGTGGTGGGCTGTGTGTGCTCCAGTTGCAGGAGATTACATTTAAGAATTACTACACAGCCTTTCTGAGCATCCGTGTTCGGCAGTACACCTCGATGCACACGCCAGCCAAGTGGGTGACCTGCCTGCGGGACTACTGCCTGATGCCTGACCCACACAGTGAGGAGGGAGCTCAGGAGTATGTATCGCTGTTCAAGCACCAGGTCAGCTGGGACTCAGCATGGCCAGGGCAGCCCAGAGGAGGGCTCACCAGGGGCCTGAGAATTGGGCCAGGCTCCCAGGAGGGATGAGCAGGGCAAGGGTTTCCTGGGCTGTGGCTCTGTGGGAAGGGCCTTGAAGGGACTACTGTTCTTTCCTCCCCAAAGGCCAGGGGAGGCGGCAGCTTGGCTCATTGGGAGGCTCCTGGTCAGTGACCTGGGGCCTCTCTGGGTCCTTGTATGCGTATGTGTCAGATGCTGTGTGACATGGCTAGAGTGCTGGAGCTGCGCCTGATTCTGCGACAGCCGTCACCACTGTGGCTGTCTTTCACAGTGGAGGAGCTGCAGATCTACCAGCAGGGACCAAAGGTAAGTGATGAGCTCAGAGCTGTTGGTTGTCCCTTTCCCCGGGAGGCTCCAAGCCATGGCTGGCAGAGCTGGGGGTAGGGGTGCAAATGGAAGGGTCAAGATAACAGTGGTCAGCCAGGTGGGAGTGTTGAGAGCTCGTGATGAGAGGTAAGGCTGTGTCCCCATATCCCCTGACCTTTGGAGCCACCTGTCTCTTTCAGAGCTGGAGCCTTCAGGTGCTGGGAGACACCTCTGTGCCTGTGTTCCCGGGGCCTCCTTCTGCAGAGCAGAAGAGCTTAGGTGGTCTGACTGCCTTTTGGGCCTTTGTGGACCCCTGAACAGGGTTTTCCCAGTGTTCAAGGTTCAGGGACCCTTTATCTCTGCTCCCATGACCTTGGAAATGGGTCCCAGGACTCTCCCCCGCTCCATCCCTCAGGGAAGGATGTCTTTGCTTTGCAGAGCCCCTCCATGACCTTTCCCAAGTGGCTCTCCCACCCAGTGCCTTGTGAGCAGCCTGCGCCCCTCCTTGAGGTAAGCCCTCACCCTGAGTAAGAACCACATGTGACTAGCTCTCCTGTCCGGGGGTGGGGGGACCCTGTCTGCAGGGAACCACACCTGGTGCCCTTGGTTCACTCTGTGCCAGTTTCCTCCCGGATGTTCCATGGCATTTGAGGTGTCTCTGGGTGGGGCTGGCTCTCCTGCAGCCCATGAGGCCCCAACCTCATGTGTCACAAGTCATCTGAAAATGTCACTGATCTCAGCTGGAGGGCCCCATAGTCCGACTTGGCCTTTCGGGAGCTCTAAGGGCACTGCTGGGGAGAGAGCCCTGGCCACTGACCCCTCCTTTGGGAGCAGGGTCTCCCAGACCCCAGCAGGGTGTCCTCCGAGGTGCAGCAGATGTGGGCGCTGACAGAGATGATCCGGGCCAGTCACACCTCCACGAGGATCGGCCGCTTCGACGTGAGTGATCGCTTCCAGCTGCGCGGCGCCCATCGCCCTGAGCGGATCGGATCTGACGGTCTTCTGCGTTGCAGGTGGACGGCTGTTACGACCTGAACTTGCTCTCCTACACTTGAGTTGTGGCTCTAAGCAAGACGTCGACCTTCCTTGTGCACCGAAGACTGGTTTGGGCCACCAGAGGCTGAAGTGCTTTCCCTGTGCATTCCATGAGTGTTGGCCGGCACGCCCGTTCTGTCTGGGCCACATTCACAGAGTCAAGATTCTAGGGAGCTCACTGCGCTGCTTCTGCATGAGCTCCTGGTGGTGGGGTTTGCACGCTGTCCTCACCTGACCACAACCCTGAATTCCTCTTCCTGCCCTAAAAACACTCTAGTTCTACTTACTAAGAATCGCTGTGTGCCCTGTGCTCCTCCTGCCAACACACACACTTCTGTCTCTGCCTGCTCCCTCACCTGAGTGCGGCGGGCTGGGTGACCTACTAGAACCTGCTCTGTTGAGCGTTGTAGGCTGTTGTAACCATGGCACTGACGTAGTTTGGAAGCTTGAAGGAGGAACAGGAGCCCCACGCCTTCCTCCTGCGCCTCCTAGTGGTCGTCTTTCCCTTTGTGTCATGTCCACAAAAAGAAATTTCCTGTCTCAACCCCTGCTGCCTGCTTCGCCCTTATCCAAGCAGCAGCTGCTTCCACATAGATGCTGTGGTCAAAAAGGAGCCCAGGGTGACAGTTTTCCTTTAGGGTTGCCATTCTGTTTGCTGTAACTGATGTGCAACATTTTGGGAAAAGACAGAAGAAAAAAAAACCAAAAAATTCCTGCCGCCCGCCTAGGGAGCAAAGGTGGCAATTTGAGCCGCCAGTCCCGTGGTCTCTGAGTTGTCTTCTGGATGTGTGTTCAAGAGGGTCTGCTCACCTAGACTGCGCAGGAGCCCCTGGCAAAGCCAAGGTCTGAGAATGAGTCCTACGACCTATTTGCTATCTGACACAGCCCAAAGTACATCCTTGCCCCTGCTCCCAGCTGCCTGCTTCCAAAAGTCATGCTCAGGGTGATGAGGGATCCTGGTGGGGAGCGGGTCCAGGTGAGGCTTCTCACTGGTGTCTAGAGGCTGAGGCCTTCTATAGCCCCATGCCAACCACTGAATAAGGCAGGCTGCTCGTCCTGATGAGAAAATACTGCTTCTCTCTCTCTTTTTTTCTTTTTCTGTCTTTGCCCCTGATGACTATAGGAGGCAGCACTGCAGCATGCTGGACCTGGGAAATTAGATATTTATATGGCTCAACAGCTTTCTGGGGGAGGGTCAGCCACCTTTTGGTGGCCACCCTCTTCTCACACCCATCAGGGTTCTTGCAGGTGGTACCTTTCCCTGCAGGGTCATTTACTTAGCTCCATTCAGCTTTTGCTAAGAGGGTAACAACCACAGTTCTTTGCTCAGGGAGTATCACTCTGTGTGTGTGTGTGTGTGTGTGTGTGTGTGTGTTGACAGGGGTCTCTGGGGTGGCAGGGACAGTGCTTCATTCACAGCTGTGTCCCCAGCACCTAGCACAGGGCCTAGCATGCTGCAAGGTCAATAAACACTTGTGGAATGCCTGACTGTTGGCTGCCTGTGTCCACCCAGCGGGAGAGCTGGAGACCCTCACATGTGACCAGGTTCCTGCGGTGCTCGGCCTGCTGGGCTGGCTCCCCCTGGACCTCTCTCCAATGTCCTCCCCATCTTTCCCCCTCCTCCTATTTGTCTGTACTCTCCTGATGTCCCAACTGTGCAATTCAAGCCTGTCAGCCCTCCACCTGAACTTTGGCCCCTGGAGGCAGCAGGGCAGTCAGCTGAGGGAGGTCTAGCCCCAGCCCAGATTCCGAACAGCTTGACTGGGCTGGGAACTTCCAACCTGCCCTCGTCAGCTGAAAGTGCCTGGGGCTGTTTCCCTGCTGCTGGTACACCCGCACAGTCGGAGCTAGAGCCCCGCCTGCCTTGCCCTCGGGGCTGCCCGCCCCTTTTCTGATCCCCTTTGTGGGAGAGAGACTAGGCTGACCAGGACGCAGACTACATCTCCCAGCGTGCCTGACAGAGTGGTAGCCCCTGTGCGTTGGCTGCACCGGGTCGCAGGCCACAATGCAGCGGGCAGTGAGCATGGTGGCCCGCCTGGGCTTACGTGGGCAGGCGCTTCCCTTGGTCCCGGGCCGTCGGTTCAGTGACACACAGGTGGGACACAGGGTGCTGGGGCACGGCGCCAGTCTTGGAGGGTGGGGGAAGGTTGGGGCTGAGGTCCCGGTGGCACTGAGCCTGGCCGCCCACAGGACGTGCTCCGCAGGACACCGCTCTACGACTTCCACCTGGCCCACGGTGGGAAGATGGTAGCGTTCGCGGGCTGGAGCCTGCCCGTGCAGTACCGGGACCGCCACGTTGACTCACACCTACACACGCGGCGGCACTGCTCGCTCTTTGACGTGTCCCACATGCTGCAGGTGAGCCGGGGGAGCGCGCCGGGCTCCAGGGCCTCCTCCCTGTGCGCAGCGGTGCCGCCTTCGGCTTGGTTCGCTGGGAGCTGGAATCCAAGGGCCGCCCTCTCGGAAGAGCTGGAGGTCTCAGGAGTGTCACAGACTGTGGCCTGCAGGAAATGAATTCTGAGGGTCGGCGAGCGGCTCCTCTCTAATCTCTCCAGCCTGCCCCCACTTAGTGGTATGCCCCAATGTCCTGGGTTTTCCAGGCTGGCACCCCTCCTGTATTGGCAGATGTGGGGAAACCAGAAGGTGGAGTCTTTGCCACCTGCAGAACCACAAGCTGGTCCCTGCGGCTGGGTTGGACTGTGCCATGCACGGCAGGGAGGATGCCTCCTTGACCAGTGGGCTTCCAGCTCGGAAACGGTCACAGTGTCCTTAGGCTTTTGATCTTTTTCTCAGACCAAGATACATGGTTGTGACCGGGTGAAGCTGATGGAGAGTCTAGTGGTTGGAGACATTGCAGAGCTGAGGCCGAACCAGGTGGGCCCTTCTTATTTTTGCTCAATGCAGTGTTCTTCGCCGTGAGCCGGCAAATGGGCTCAGCCCCGTCGTGGGGCTTGAGGGCACAGTGATGGCTCAGACACAACTCTGCAGTCTCGGGGCTTGAAGTCCCTAAGTCATGTCCAGAAGCCCAGGTTCGTGTCCTTTTCTGTGATCTTCCCCTTGCAATTCAAGGTGTAGTCCCTAACACAGCAGACTCATCATGACCTAGGAGCTTGTCAGGAGTACACCCTCGGGCTCTGCTCCAGGCCTGTTGAACCAGAAGCTGTAGTTTAGAAAGAGCCTCAGGTGGTTCACATGAGCTCTCAACTCCAGGCTCTTGGTCCATCCAGTGGGGAGGCTGAGGCTGGCCTCACAGTGTCTCCGGGCATGGCTGCTGTGGAGCTCTTGAAATCATCACGGTGGACTTTGAAGCTCTCTGTCCTGGGTTTGGAGCAGGGACTGGGTTGTCCCGGGTTTGGGTGGGAAAAGGCAGCCAGTCCCAGGTATCGTGAATACACGTGTGAGATGGGGCTCTGGGTGCTGAGTGGGGAGGGGTGCAGGCCCCCTACTAGTTCAGGGAGGTCCCGCAGGTGGAGGAGGGTTGAAAACATTCTCAGTACACGAGGATCAAACACCATGGGCTTGGGCAGGCCCCTGGGGTGCCCCAGCCTTGTTCCTTGCACCGCCCCCCTAGCCCTGTGCAGGAGGGTTCATGACCTTGCGGAGGCCGAGCGGGCCCAGGGGTGTGTCTGACTCACACTGGATGTTGGTTTCCTGGACCTGGATGCAAAATTGCTCCACTTTGGTGCTAGGGGACACTGTCGCTGTTTACCAATGAAGCTGGGGGCATCTTAGATGACTTGATTGTGACCAACACCTCTGAGGGGCACCTGTATGTGGTGTCCAACGCTGGCTGCTGGGACAAGGACTTGGCCCTCATGCAGGTACAGCCCCTCTGTGTTCTAGGCACCCCGTCTTCCGTATTCACAGAACGGTGTCCCCACTGTCCAGGACAGACCTGGACAAGGGGCCCAGACAATAGCTCTCTTGGGTGAGTGAACGACAGGCCAAAATGACCCTCCCTGGGGCATGCCAGGGTTCACTAGGAGAGGGGTGGGGGAGGTGGGAAGGCGCAGCTGACCTCGGGCCCTGGGTCAGCATCCTCTGGTGAGGGTGGAGGGCTGGAGCCTGGGATTAGAACTGGCTGACATGGGCTTGGGCCATCCCCACCACTTAGTTACAGGGCCTTGTAAGACGAGGGCCATCCTGCTCTGCCCAGATCTGCAGCACCTGGGAATGGTCCCAGACGCCAGTGTGTTTCTGTCTTTGCATTTAGGACAAGGTCAGGGAGCTTCAAAACACAGGCAGTGACGTGGGCCTAGAGGTGGTGGATAATGCCCTGCTAGCCCTGCAAGGTGAGCGGCCAGGCTGGGGTTGGAGCTGACCTTGGCCTTCTTGGCTTCTTCCATGGCCTAGCAGAGGCTGTACCAGGAGGAAGGTGTGGATGGTGTGAGATTTGTATGTCATACCATAAGCCGGGTGTCATGCCCTCCCCGTGCTGGCCCCAAAGCTCCACGGGCTGAGCAAGAGCGTCTGTTCCCACCCGCAGTGGAGGACTTGCTCAGGACTTGCTCCGGTCCCTGAGTAAGGGCTGCAGTCGAGCTTTGAGGGGCCTTGGGACCTGGACTCTTGGTCACTGGCTCCCTGGGCCCAGGTCCCACAGCAGCCCAGGTGCTCCAGGCCGGCGTGGCAGATGACCTGAGGAAACTGCCCTTCATGACCAGTGCCGTGATGGAGGTGTTTGGTGTGTCTGGATGCCGCGTGACCCGCTGTGGCTACACAGGAGAGGATGGTGTGGAGGTGCGTCAACGAGTGGGGGCGGGGCGGTCGTGCAGGGCGCAGGACTCGGGCCAGCATCCCGCCCACTCCCGGCTGTCCCACGCAGATCTCCGTGCCAGCAGCAGGGGCAGTCCGCCTGGCAACAGCTCTGCTGGAAAACCCAGAGGTGAAGCTGGCAGGGCTGGCGGCCCGGGACAGCCTGCGTCTGGAGGCAGGCCTCTGTCTGTACGGGAGCGACATCGACGAGCACACCACACCTGTGGAAGGCAGCCTCAGCTGGACGTTGGGTGAGTCGGGTTGCCACTCAGGGACGGCATCCCGAAGGCAGGGGCGGCCCTTCGTGAGACCTGCCAGCCTGTGACTGCCCCCAGGGTTGGAGAGCCTGGAGCCGGCGACTCAGCCATCCCAAGCCTCCATTCCCTGAAGGTGCCCATCAGATGCTGAGGACCCTCAGCAGGCTGAGATGAGCAGCATGGCCTCCAAGACTGGGGGAAGGAAATGGGTGGCCGATTGGCCACATGGCAAGGAAGGAACGGGGCCTATGGGAGTTGGAGTGAAGGGGCCTCGGTGCTGATGGATGTCACTTGGGGCCCGTGTAGATAGGATCTTCTGTGGCCGGGGGCCCACGGGCCTGTGGCTTATGTCGGGTGTGTCACGCTGCAGGGAAGCGCCGCCGAGCTGCCATGGACTTCCCCGGAGCTGTGGTCATCGCCTCCCAGCTGCAGGGCAAGGTGCAGCGGAGGCGCGTGGGGCTCGTGTGCGAGGGGGCCCCTATGCGGGCGCACAGCCCCGTCCTGAGTATGGAGGGCACCGTGATTGGTAGGTGCATCAGAGAGGCTGGAGAGCTCTCGCCCCTTCCCCAGGGGGTGGGGCGCCGGCCTGTCAGGGCGGTGCTGACACGTGGCCTCTGCCTGGACAGGCACTGTGACCAGTGGCTCTCCGTCACCCTGCCTGAAGAAGAATGTGGCGATGGGTTACGTGCCGCTGGAATACAGTCGGGCCGGTACCCCGCTACTGGTGGAGGTGCGGCGGAAGCAGCAGAAGGCTGTGGTCAGCAAGATGCCCTTTGTGCCCACACGCTATTATACCCTCAAGTGAGGATGGCCTGGGCCCAGGCCTTCTGCTGGAGGGCATTCTACAAGGCGCTAGGCAGGAAGCTGAGGCAGAACACACCGGAGGGTGGGGGGCTAGGGCGCAGGGGGCTAGTTGAGGGGAGCCCCACCACCTCATCCTGTGCCACTTCAATGTCAAGACCAATTTCTCAGTGATGGACCAGCTCACCTAATTCTCTGTTTGAGCCCACGGCCCCGTGGACCCCGCTCTTGCCGGCCGGAGGGCTGTGAGAAGCATCAGCCCTGGCACTTCCGCTCCGCCAGGTGCTGGCTGTGCCGCAAAGGCTCTCCCTTGGGAGGCTAACGCCTGTCCAACCTACCTCACCGCAGCTGCTCACGCTGCGAAGGGTCATTACCTGGGGCCACCTCCTCCAGCTGACTTTGCATGAACGCACACGGCTGCCTCTCCCTGGGCAGGAGTGAGTCACAGGGGGTTGGCCCGGGAGGGCTGCCGTGCCTGCGTGTGAACCAAGGGTGCGTGGACTCACTCTTCCACATTCTCAAGTCGGCCCAGCAGCACACCACGCCGGGCTCGCCACCTGTTCTGGGCCTCAGGGCTCCTGCACTTGCCTCACCCTGGGCTGACCTTCGCCCCTGCGGCCCATCACTGGACTCCACTGACTCCTGAAAAACATTAAACAAGCTTCCTTCCTTCTTGCTGGCCAGAGTCTAGCTTCATTACCCTTTGCCCACAGGGTTCCTGGGGTGCCGGCCCAATGCTGGCCTTTCTGGCCTCTGAGACGGGCTCTCAGTGGTTCTCCGCGAGTGGGGCAGGTCTGTAAGGATGAACAGGGCAGTGCCTGTGTTGGGCACCCAGCACTGCTCCTGGCAAGGCTGGCAGCAGCTCCCCAACACGGCAGTCGTTAAATTCTGGGTGCCGAGGGGCAATAGCCCCTGGGGTATTCTCTCTCCAGTTTCCCCTGTGCATGCACGCACACCCTTGTCCTGTCCGAATGACCACACAACTGATGCACTTCCATCTTTAATAAGCCGCCTCCTCAGCTGAGCCCGGGGAGGAACAGGAGACCCTGACTGTGTGGTGGTGGTGGTGTCAGTGGGTGGACCTGGGCGGCAAAACCACCATCCTGCCAGCCGGAAGGCCCCTCTGCTGTAAGTGCCCGCGCCAGGGCTCAGTGGAGTCCCACTCCCTGCGCACCTCTGCCGCGGACGATCTAGGCAAAGGCTGCCAGATGGAAATGCGACATCAGACGGAACAGCAGGCAGAAGCACAGGGAGGGAGACGGACCTAGGGCCACACTGCCTTCAGGAACTGGCGCTTGCCATCCACCCCTTTGGAAGTGGCGTGCCCGCGCAGGCTGCGGCTCTGCACTCTTAAGAGTGCGGATGGTGCTGGTGGGGAGGAGCCAAGTCCCTGTTCGGATGAAGCTCCTGTGGTTCCAGGTCAGCATGGGAAGTGATGGGGCTGCAGGGCAGCACGGGGCTGCCCTGCACTGACTGCCTAGACTCTCTCGGAGGGGGCAGGCTACAGACCCACAACCCCATGGGCACTTAAGTGGTGGGGGTGGAGGTGGGAAGTCCCCCCTGGGGCTCAGCCTTGTTCAGGCACCCGGTTTCCCTCCAAGAAGAACTGAGAGGAATATGAGTATGATGCTCACAATAAGATAATTTCTGTAGTCTGGCTCACACCAGGAGAGCTCTGAGTGGGCCAAGAAGGTGGGTGTTTGGTGCCTCCATGTCTGGATGGTGCCAGCTGCCCACTGTCTTATACTTGACTGGCCGAGCAAGTAACCACAGAGTATAAGGTTGTGTCCAGGCCAAGATTCCTGGCTCCCCGCCAACAACAGCAAAACCAAATTCGGAAAACCTAGGGCTTAGGGGAAAATGGACTTCCCTTACAAATCCCAGAGCCGGTCAACCTCAGGCTTCCTCTCAGGGGGGTAAGTCTCTATCGGCTCACATCCCAGGGGGATGGGAGGGGGGGCAGGAAAAGCTGAGAGAGAAAATGGACTGCTGGCCTTCCCGGAGGCTTCTCCTGAACTGACCCCTGAGAGAGGAGGAGCAGCATTCTCTCCTTAAGGCACCCGGATCAGGGCAGAGGCGAACACTTTACTGGCCCAACGCCTGGGGCTGCTGGAGGAAAGGCCAAGGGCAGTGGAGGCCCAACCCCGTGAGTACTGGAGTACTCCCTGCCTCCCAAACCTGACCCCCCTGCAGTCATCCCTGGGGTCTGGGTAGCAGTAGAACCCAGTGTGGGAGCCAGCAGACCCGACGATGTCCCTGGAGACCCCTCTGCTGCCTTCCCTTATTCTCTGTGGGTTTTGAGAGGTTCGTTTGCAGCTGTTTCCCTAAAAGTGATGGAGAGAAGAGAGAGGGGTTATTCCACGGGCAGCACAACAGTCCCTGAGAATGGCTCTCTCTAGCTTTGTCAGAGAGGCTGAGTGGGGCTTCCTACAACCTAAACCTCTGCTGGGCTCCCACAGCCCACGGTGGGCCCACCGCCTTTCCCCTGCAGACTCGTTTCTCCTCCTGGTGGCACTCCCATCATCCCCCATTTGCCCGAAAAAACATGGGCAGTGGCAGGTCTCCTAACTAGCCTCTTGCCCTCTCTGTCAGACCCCTTTATGTACTTGCCACAAGGCAGGCAGCTAAAAAGGCCAATTACATTGGGCCATGGTCTAATCATGGTTGAGTCTTCTCATAGCTCCCACAAGTCTAGGGCTTTGCAGGCCCCTCCACACCTTCATGGTTGAGCTCCAGCACTACAGCCTTGTCTATTCCTTAACCTGTCACCCTTGGTCTCATCTCTGGGCCTGTTCTAGTCATTCTCTTTGCCTGGCACACTTTAGCACCCCTGGTCTGCCTTCAGCTTAAGTGCCCCTCTGGAGAGAAACCTCGGACCACCGTCGTCCCTGCACTGCTGCCCTCTCCTTTCAAATGCCTGGCTGCCCCTGTAAGCAGGTTCTGGGTTGTTCTTGTTCTCTGGCTCCTGCCATGTGCTAGGAGCTCAGAAATTAGCTGACAGAATGCCCTGATTACTGAGTTCGTGTTTTACAGATGAGAAGGCTGACCCTGCCGAGGCCAGGCAGTGCACAAAGGACAGGGACTCCTGCCTTTCCAACTGAGGGGCTTGCCATTTCATCTCTGAAGCTGTGAATAACACTGTCTACCCTCACAGGCTGCTGAACAGCAAACTGATGAACTGTTCAGACCTCCTTGTCACTTGAAATATGAGCTCTACTTGCAGGTCTTGCAGCTTGCTGCAAAGGCCACTAAGCGGGAGGACTCCTACCCCGAGATCTCCCCTCCCCCACCCCCAGCATAGCAGTGTCCCCCTGTCTGCCCAGCACGGGGTTGAGATGGGAACAGATTTACTCACCACGAAGGGAAATGCGTGGAGCCATCAGGTGTGGATCCGTTCTGGCCGCCCAGACCTGGGGGCAGGAACACATCCAGAGCTGCAGGGGGCTGGGTTGGGGATCTGAGCAGGCAGCAGCCCAGGTCAGGTTAGAGGCTAGTGGTATCTGGTAGAGAGTCTGACGGGGGACCTAAGCAACTAGTGGTTTTGTCTGATGAGGGTTCAAAAGGAGAATTATAATGTTATGGGTGGACTGGTGAAGTTTGAGTGATATGGTATGTTGGCATGGGTCAGAGTACAGCTTTAAGGTGCGATACGGTTCTTAGGAGACCAGTGGTGGTCTAAGGGGGTCCTGGGGAGGCCAATGGTACAGTCCAGTGGGCGTGGGGGCAGCCAGTCCACGGAGGTTGGTGGGGAGCCTCACCTGGGCGGTGATACAGCCCGGTCACCGTGCTCCCGTAGAACCCCCAAGCCAGCTGGATGCCCAGGAGACTTAACACCAACCACAGCAACAGCAACTTGAAGAGGGTCACGCGCATGTCCTGCGCCTCCCACTCCCGCAGGAACTCGCTACCCAAGGCGCCCAGAGCCCCCAGCACCGTGGCCGGCAGAGTCTGCAAGGACTGCCCAGACCAAGACTCCGCCATGACTGGCCTGCGCCCCACCCGTAGGACTGTCACCGCAGTCCCCACTGCGCAGGCGTCTGGTCTTCCGGGGCCAAACCGGTTAAGGCGCACGCGTAAACAGAGGCAAAACGAGCCTAACTCGCCTGCGCGAAGAGTTGGCAGTTTGGGAGGAGTATTAAAACTGCGCACGCGCACCCAGCCCCACCCAGACTTAAAGGATGAGTGACTCGAGGAGCACAAAATAGAAACCAGGTCTTTTATAGCCCTTGAGTTCCCGTGATGCCTCACGAGGCTGCAACTATTGGTTAAGCGCCTTGCTTTTAGGGCGTGGCCTCACTCCTGAGCAATCGTGGCGGAGCTGTGAGTCCGCGTGCGTGCGCGGGGCCGCGACGAGAGCCAGCTCGAGCCCGCTGGGCAGGCGGGGGCGCGCACGTCGCTCCCCGCCCTCCCGCCACCGCCCGCCCTCGCTCGCTCGCGCTCCCCGCCCGCTGCCTGCCGCCCGCCGTCCACCGCCCGCCGTCCTCCGTCGGTTCCCTCGCTAGTCCGCCGCCGCCTCCTCGGACACCCGCTCTAGTCTCCGAGTTTGCGACTCGCGGACAAGCGTCCTCGGCGCAGAGAGGCCAGAGTCGGAGCCGTCGCCTGAGGTGAGTGAGAGGGTTTCCTCCAGGCGCCCCGGGCCCGCCCGCCCGGCACTCTTCCGCCCGCCTGCCCGCCCGCCCGCCGGCCGCCCCGCCGCGGCCGCGCCCCACCTGCTGCTCTAGGCCGGTCGCCCCTGGGCCCTGACCCTGACTCGGGCCCCGGCCCCTTTCCCCGAAGCGGCGGCCCCGCCCGCTCAGTCCCCGGAAGCGCGCCCCGCGGCCTCCCGCGCCCCTTCCCCCGCCCGGCCAGGCCTGGTGGAGCCCAAGCTGCCCGCCGGCGGTCCCCGGCGCTTCCTCTCTCCCGGCCCGGCAGGGCGGAGGCTCCGGGCCGGGCGGTGCAGCCGGCCGCTGCGAAGCGCGCGTGGCTATCGGAGTTGAAACGGGAAAGAAACTCTTTACAACTCCATTTTGGCTTTTACATTTAACGTGAAACGTGAATCACCGATTTATACTGGGTGAAGTCCAGTTATGGTTTGGGTGTAATTTTCTTCATGCAGTATTTTTAGAAATTGTGTTAAGTAGAAGATAGTACTGAAACCTTAAGGGTTAGGATTCTTCGGTATTGCACAGAACAGAACTAGCCTTTAGACACTTTTCATGATTTTAGTAATTTAAACTGTGTTTCCTCAAAATAGCATTAATTTGCAGTTTTGCTTAGTCTGAGTCACTGCCTTGATTAGGAATCACCTAAACATCTGTCCTTAGTTATCGAATGGACCCAGTTACAAATCGTCTTCATTAAATAGCACTGTTTGCACTCAAATTGATTTGATCAGAATCATGTTTAGTAGTTTATGGTGGAAAATTGTCATTCTTTGAACTTCAGAGTTGGTTCTACTTGTGTTTTTTAATGATCCTGGTTTAAAATTTGAACCTCTGTTGGTGACTTGTGTGTGTGTGTGTGTGTGTGTGTGTGTGTGTTTGACAGTCTTTTGAGGGAGGCGACTTGCGGGTGTGTAATCAGATTATTTCTCCCCGCCAGGCGTGGAAGGGAAAAACATACTTTAAAAAAAATTCTTCCATGTTGTACGTGGTGAGAAATTTTCAACCACTTAGTGCCACACACCCAAATGTGTAACGTGTGTGTGTGTGTACAGTTGCGTGATTGTTACAGACATGGCTCAATTGGTACAAATAATTGTTTTGAGTATTTGGCACAAGTTAACATTGTGTGGGCTGAATATACAAGACGAGTTCTTCATTGTGGAGAGTAGCTCATTGAAGGATCTCTCTTGGTAAATTCACTGGAGAGGAGTTCCATTTACTTTTGTAGAGCACTGGTGGTTCTTGGGGATGTAAAATGTGTAAGGAGGAACTTGCTTTGAGTCAAAGTCTAACCCAGATTTATAGCTTCTGTTCCCAAGGATCTGCAGTGGAGGGAAGAAGAGAGCGGGAATCCACCGACTTTTTCATAGATCCAGAATTGTAGCAGTGAAGGGAATCTTCAGGATTTGTGTGGGCCCAACCTCATTTGCGGAGGAGGAAACTGAGTCTCAGAGACAACTACCTCGAGTCTAACTACCTGGCTAGGTCTAGCCAGGTGCAGGCCACAGTTCTTCTCCGTGAGGCACTCTCCAAGTGCTCCCAAACTGCTTGCTAAGAATCAGCTAAAATTCAGGACTTAGAGCTTATTCCAGTGTTTTCTCTTTTTATGTATCCTTTTATTACTGCTGATTTTATATGTATTGGGGAAATCTGAAAAATTTGTTTTCCAAACAACTTTCAGTTTTTTGGCTAAAGCACTCTCCTCTCTGTAAGTGGGTGGTCCTGAAGCAGTTGGTTGAACTAGGCAAGTGCATGTACAGGGTCCCTGCCTGCCCTAATACTGGCTTTAGGTTTTGGGTCTTTTGAGGGACCAACTTCTTCCACAGGGATCCCAGACTCCCCTGCTCCAAATCTAACAATTATTAAGTCAGGCTAAGATGTTGTTAGGCAACTCGGGCTCTTTTTAAGAGAGAGGGAAGGGGGGGGTGGAGATCAATGTGAGGTTGCTGGGGATCATGGCCTACAACCCAGGCATGTACCCTGAGTGGGAATCGAACCTGCGACACTTTGGTTTGCAGCCCGCGCTCAATCCACTGAACTATGCCAGCCAGGACTACTCTGGCTCTTTTGACTATTGATTTGAGGTAGGATGGGGAGAAACTACATGTATCATGTAAATAGTTCCTTGTATGGTAGTAGTTTTGTTGGAGTACTGATTCCTTTTTTGTCAGCTAACTCCTTTTAAAAGTTTATCCTGGTCATACGGGGTTGTAAGTTATCAGGCAAGTGAAAACAGGTAGATCTTCAGGTGTTTCCTGTCTGTGGGGTGGAGTCGAGGCTGTGACAGGAGGAGGAAGTGGGTTGTTACTTTGGGTCTTATTTGTCCTAGAGCTGTGAGGTTTATGTTAAGTAGTCAAAAGAAAGACTTATATTTCAAGTTTTAAGAGAACTGATTTGGGCTTGCTGGGCTTCTGTAGACAGCACCTTGGGTTTAATTGCTTTATGGCTACCTACTAGTGATAATGATAAATGGTCCACAGTTGCTGGATTTTAATCACATATTTGTAGTTTTAAAAGGTCCCTAAGTATTTCATCTTACCTTGCCACTCAGTTTATCCCTTTATTCACCTGGCCAGTGGAACTGGGTCTGTCTGTACGTACCCATTAATGTAACTAAATTTTAAACTTGTAGTGATGTGTCTTAATTATACTGTTCTTTGGGGCCATGCTCACTCTTAAGTACTTGTGAGATTAATAAATTAAAGTTTTCAAAAACAGTTTAAAGTGAGGAATTACTGTAAAATTCCTCTTTCAAGTGTTTCTATTTCAGGTGACTCATTTTTAATCTGTGGGGCTGAAGTAATAAGTGAAGGCCTTGTATACTCATAATTATGGTAGTCATGTGACTGAAAATCAGATAGGCATTGAAGCTGCTCATTCTATTCTGCACGTTGGTCTGAGTTTATTGGTGCTTCATCCAGATGATTCTGAAGACATTTTTATAGCTAATAATCATTGAAATATGAGCCCTGGCTGGTGTGCAAACCGATGGGTTGCCAGTTCAATTCCTGGTCAGGGCACATGCTTGGGTTGCTGGCCAGGTCCCCAGTTGGGGGCATGCAGGAGGTAACTGATTCATTTGATGTTTTTCTCCCTGTCTTTCTCCCTTGTTTCCCCTCTAAAAATAAAGTCCTAAAAAAAAAAAAGGCCAGCCAGAAAAACCCCAAGATACACTCTGTTGCACCAGTTTGCAGTTTGTACCAAATTGAGCTTGATTTTTTTTCCCCATTTTAAAAAAGTTCTAACCTGAGGATATGTTCATTGATTGGGAGGGACATTGATATGAGAAGGAAACATCCATCCATTTCCTCCGGTAGGTGCCCCAACGAGGATCGAACCCACAGCTTTTTGGTGTTCAGGATGATGCTCCAACCATCTGAACTACCCTGCCAGGGCTGATTTTTTTTTTTCCTTAAGAGGATGGGTAAAGTAAATATATTTAAGCATATTTATGATAGTGTCTTAATAGTCAAGCGAAGAGAAAGAGAAGGACATAAACAGTGGATGATATTGGTTTAGAGTAGAGTGAAGAGAAAAGTCGGAGATAAAATGAAATTGGAGAGGTGGTCAGGGACCAGATCATGTAGGGCCTTTAGGATGCGGGAAGTTCGTCAGATTTGTTCTGAGGTGAGAAATTAGAATTTTCGCTCTTAGCAGGTGAGTACTATTATCTGGTATTAAACAAATAAATGGAGTTGTTCACCAAGAGTAGGGATACATCTGACTTTAAATAAAAGGAGCTAATACTGATCATTTTTGACAAAAATGTCAGTATTTCCTAATATTTCTTTGACCTATTTTTTTTGAAACCATTGGTTTTTCTGACAGTCGCTGTTCAGCCTGCTATTTCTCTATAATGCCTGTATTGAAAATAAAATATAGTTTGACTAAGGAAGTCATTTAAGTGTTCAGGTAGTCTAGGTGGTAGGGATACAGGTGTTCATGGTAAAATTTTTTTAGCTTTGATGTGTGTTTGGAAATTTTTATAATAAAAATGTTGGGAAGTTAATTTACATAGGATTTATCTGCTTTTGAAACCTGCTTTTAAAAGGGAAACATTAATTTATAATCATATAATGTTGATTGTGTACAATATTTTTTTAAAGATTTTATTTATTTTTAGAGAGGGAAAAGGAGGGAGAAAGAGAGGGAGAGAAACATCAATGTGTGATCGCCTCTTGTGCACCCCCTACTGAGGATGTGCCCCGAAATCCAGGCATGTGCCCTGACTGGGAATCGAACTGGTGACCCTTTGGTTCACAGGCCAGTGCCTTATCCACTGAGACACACCAGCCAGGGCTGGTTGTGTACAATACGTTAGGTGAACGAGGCCAAGACTTGTATAAATGTGATAAATTTTATGGTATGTCAATTAGGAATTAAATTTTGCACTGTTTCCCTCACTTGGATTGTACATTACTTTACAGAAATTTGGGTGAGCCCATTTACATCTTGTACTGTGTTTTTTTTTCCTCATAAAATGAATAGATATAATTCCTGACTTATTTATTTTTTAATGTTTTTATAGTGCCTTTCATCTGA